TGGGGGGGGGGGGGGGTAGGAACAACACAAACTTCGGGGGGCGGGAGCACGGTGTACCGGGCAGTGTCTCGGGGGATCACGACTGCGATGCAGCTTGAGGGAAGCGACGAGCCCTTTTCCGGAGAGCTTGCGAGAGAAAACAAGGGAGCGGGGGTTCCGCATTTAGGCCCCCAAAAGGTGGGGAAAGGTGGGGAAAAAATGGGGAGGGGGGGATTTGGGTTTCCGCATTGGGGTGGAGAAAACCCGCCCCGGCGAAAAGGGGGCCGCCCAGGACCCCCGGGGGCGCGCGAAAGAGGGGGATGAGCGGCATTCCGACCAGTGCCCCTACCCCCGGAGAGGGGGGAGCCCTGCAGGAGGACCCCCCCCCCCCCCCTGCAGGAGGACACCCCCCGCCCTGCAGGAGGACCCCCCCCCCCCCCTCGAGGCTCGGCGGCCGGCCCGGCGTCCTCCTCTCGCCTCTCCTCTCGCCCTCTCTCTTCTCTTCTCTTCTGCCTCTCTCTCTCTCTCTGCCTCTCTCTCTCTCTCTGCCTCTCTCTCTCTGCCTCTCTCTCTCTCTCTCTCTCTCTCTCTCTCTCTCTCTCTCTCTCTCTCTCTCTCTCTCTTCCAGCCCCCCCATTTTTTCCGTCTTCTTTCTTCTCTCTCCCCGTTCTTGCGGCGCGCCCGTGGCGTAGGCGGCCGTGATGAGGGCCCGCACCTGGGGAGATATGGGGAGATATGGGGAGATATGGGGAGATGCGGGGAGATATGGGGAGAGATGGGGAGAGATGCGGGGAGATGCGGGGAGAGATGGGGAGAGATGGGGAGAGATGGGGAGAGATGGGGAGAGATGGGGAGATATGGGGAGATATGATGAGGGCCCGCACCGGGGGTGCCGGAGGCGGAGGAGGCGGAGCGGGTGGAGAGGGAGGCGGAGGTGACGGTGGGGGTGGAGGTGGACCTGTGGCGGCGAGAGCGCGCCCTGCACGAGCGTCTTGTCCGACGAATCGCGCCCGTCGACGCCGCGCGCGTAGTCGGCGTACGTGTTGACGAGGTTGCCTGCGGGGAGATATGCGGAGATCTGGGGAGATCTGGGGAGATATGGGGAGTGCGTGTTGACGAGGTTGCCTGCGGGGAGATATGCGGAGATCTGGGGAGATCTGGGGAGATATGGGGAGTGCGTGTTGACGAGGT